TCTACCCATTAGATCAGCAGTCTGCAATGTTTTTGCCCCCAGGGACCACTTTCATGGAAGACAATATGTTGATTTGATGCATTTATGTATTGCAGAAAGTTTACCACCATAGCATTAGCAAGGACCTGCATCCCATACTTAACACTTTTTTTATTGTAGTGAGAACATTAAGGATGTTTTGCCTTAGCAACTTTCAAGTACACAATACAGGATTATTAGCTATAGTCATCATGCTGTACATTAAATCCCTAGAACTTGTTAATCCCATAGCTGGAAGTTTGTACCCTTTGAACAATAGGCAGATATTCTGCATTTTAACAAGTTCCCGGGTGATGCCATGAGGTTGGTTTGTGGGCTTCACTTTGAAAAGTAAAATCAATCTGTAACGAAAACTGTGGTCTGGTTGCCCACTGCCCAAAAATCAATAAAGAGGCCAGGTTTGTGGAAAGAAATGTTTGCTTTATTTCGGATGTTGGCAGTGGGGTGGAGAGGGTGGGATGTGGATTCCAGCCCAAGGTCCAACTCCCCCCACCCCACTGACAACCAGTGGGCAAGATCTTTTTTATATGGGGGGAGGGGGGCTCCATGAAGAAACAGCACAGTCAGCTCTGACAGTCATCTTGAAATTAATTGGTCATCAGTGGTCAGGTCAGCATTATCTCGATTGCTTTCAGTGCTGTTTATCTTCAGTTCCAGGACTGGGTGGTTCCCATATCCCTAAGGCCGATTCTCAGAACTGTGGCAGCTCTTGTCATGGCTACAGTCTGGTCATCATGTCCTTAACTTCTTCCACCTGGTGGGGGTTTCAGTTTCTACAAGACAGCTCACAGGATATGGCTCAGAATATTGTCCATAGACCTTGAGGAGGAACTAAAAGTCCTGGATTTTGTTTAATGACTAAGCTAGTGCTATTTGGTCTCCTTTGACTGTCTTCCTTTGTGTCTGCATCTTCTCACTTCTCTGACTGAACTTATTCCTTGGCTGAAGTTTCCCCCCAGACAACAGACAGGTGGAGGAAGAGGTTGGAACAGGGAGGACCATAGGGTCCTGCTCCATTGCAAATCTGTACTCAATAAATATCAGATTAATGACAGAAATGGGAGAGGTCTACAGGCTCCAGAGGACCAGGGATCAGATTAGTGGATGAGGATGGAAGACATTGAGCAGGCGGGACTGGGATATGGCTGTCGAGGGATGTGTTTAAGTCTTGGTGCCCATTTTGCCAGTTCTTATTACTAGAAGCACTAGACGCATGGAAGCACATTTGGATAACAGAATGTCAGATCCAGACGACACTTCAGAAGGTAAGTCAGGGCCTCCCTGGTGGGTCTGTGGTGAAGAATCCACCTGCCAATGCAGGAGACGTGAGTCTAATCCCTGGTCTGAGAAGATTCCACGTGCTACAGAGCAGCTGAGCCCTTGTGCCAACACTACTGAGCCTGTGCTCTAGATCCCCTGTGCTCTAACTACTGAACCCACATGCCGCAACTATAGAGGCTTGACACGGATGGTGGAGAAGCTTACTAGCTGTCATCTGAGGGCAAACTCAGTCAGAGGAAATGCCAAGTCTGAGTCTGAATTCCAGATCTTCCCTTTGTTAACTCATAATTCCTCTGATCCTTGAGAAATGGGCATCTGATCCCTCTTAGGATGATGATTANAATTTCAAAGTCTATCCGTACTCAGAGGTCATAAAGACATTCCCCAACAATGCCTTCTAATAGATTTAACATTTATTTTTATTTATTTATTTGGCTGCACAAGGTCTTAGTTGTAGCACTCAAGATCTTCTTTGCATCATGTGGTATCTTTAGACGCAGTGTTCAGGCTTCTCTAATGACATAAGAGCTTAGCTGCTCCAAAAGTGTTGGACTTGTTACAGAGTCCAAGCTTGCTCTGCTCTGCTGCACCACAGGCAAATAAATCCGAGACGAGGTGCTGAGGCAAGGAAGAGACTTCGTTAGGAAAGCCAGTTGATGGAGAAGATGGCAGACTAATGACTCAAAATAACCATCTTATTGGGGTCTGGATGCCAGCTTGTTTTATAGAACAGAGACAGGGAAGGTGAGGAAGTAAAGTTAAAGAAAAAAAAAAGGCAGAAGAGAGAGAGAGAGAGAGAGAGAGAGAGAGAGAGAGTGAGGAAGTAAAGCAAAAGGGGCCGTATTCTTACAAAACATCTCCAGGACAACTGACCTTCAGTGGTAATCTCCTGCAGACATTCACAGGGGGGCTGGTCAGGTCATCTCCCTGTGAGCTGAACAAAGGACTTTAGTCTAACAGTCAGGCTGAAGGGTGGGGTTCTCTGAGGCTTGCCATTATGTATGGTTATGGGTTGTTCTAGCAGTAAAGAATCTGCCTGTCAATGCAGGAGACACAAGAGACTCATGTTTGATCCCTGGGTCAGGAATATGCCCTAGAGGAGGGCATGGCAACCTCACCCAGCATTCTTGCTTGGAGAATCCCCATGGACAGAGGACCCTGGCGGGATGCACCAGTCCATGGGGTCACAAAGAGTCGGACATGACTGTAGAGATTTAGCACGCATGCATAATAACAACAGCAATGAAAAGCAAGTCAAAGAAACAGTTCCAACATGGAGTCAGAATTGGCTCTTCCTTGCAACAATCTTAGTTCACCAACCAGGGATCAAACCCATGTCCCCTCCATTGCAAAGCAGATTCTTAACCACTGGGCTACCAGGGAAGTTCCAGCAAAGCCTTTTTAAAGACAAGATGAGAGAGGGGCCTCCCAGGTTAGCTTATGTACAATTCTCTGGTTCATGGTGGGGTAACAGGTCTTCCTAGGTGGCTCAAGGGTAAAGAATCCACTTGCCAATACAGCAGATGTGGGCTTGATCCCTGGGTCGAGAAGATCCCCTGAAGAAGGAAATGGCAACCCGCTCCAGTATTCTTGCCTGGAAAATCTCCTGAACAGAGGAGCCTGGCAGGCTACAGTCCATGGGATCGCAAGGAGTTGGACCTGACTTAGTGACTAAAGAGAGGGCGATGTCACAGGGATTAACATTATCCATCCTTAGGCACCAGTAGGTCTGGGGGCTACAGGCTCATGGTCATCAAGTAGTTAAAACCTTCCATTTGTTGGGGGGTTCTAGTCCTTCTGTACAAGGACTCAGGAAATGTTCATGAGATATTATTATCTCGGTATTTCAGAGAAGAGCTGAAGGAGAGGATATGGGGTAGAGTCTCCTCAGGCAAGGCCCATAGGGCCCTCCTTGGTTACATTAGCAGTACTTAATACAGTGTATATATATTTTTTAACTATTTTATTTTATTGGCTGCACCATGCGGCATGTGGGATCTTAGTTCCCCAACAAGGCATTGAACCTGTGGCCCCTGCATTGGAAGTGTGGCATCTTAACCACCGAACCATCAGGGTTAGTCCCTAATACAGTGTATATTTTAATACTCTGTGTGTATGTGTGGCTCCACTGAAGTGTGATGTCCATGAAAACAGTATTATTATTATTTGACTTTTATTAGAGCAAGTTTGGCTTCACAGAAACATTGAGCAGAGGGACAGAAATCTCTGTCAAACCTCCTGTCCCCACACAGGCATTGCTCCTCCCAGTAGCAACCTCCCACTCTGAGTGGTACATACATTATCGTTGATGAACCTGTATCAATAGGTCCCAATCATCCAAAATCTATAGGGTTCATTCTCTGGGTTTAGGAGAGCAGTGGTCTTGTTTTCCCATTTCATTGCTGGTGTTCCTAAAAGAATACCTGAATTTGAGAAAAGTTATAAGTAAAAATGGAATGAATGACGGGATAAAATCATGTACATTGGATTGAGTTGTTTGTATTCTTCACTCGCAAAAAAAAAGAAAAAGAATCCAAACTTGGGATTCAAGGGATCCATATTTAAATGACCTTTCCTGTGGTGGGGCTTCCTTTGTGGCTCAGTTGGTAAAGAATCTCCCTGCAATGTGGGAGACCTGGGTTCGCCTCCTGGGTTGGGAAGATCCCCTGGAGAAGGGAAAGGCTACCCACTCCAGTATTCTGGCCTAGAGAATTCCATTGGCTGTATAGTCCATGGGGCCACAAAGAGTCAGACATGACTGAGCGACTTTCACTTTCACTTTTCCTGTGGTGGGTATTTAGATAGCAACATTGACAAAAGATGAGGCTTTAGAGAAACCAGTAGCAAAGCCATTGTCAACTACAAATTGGCACTTACCAAGAGCATTGCCAATGACTGAACAAAAAAGCCATTTGCCATCTGCCTCTTTGGAGATTGAACCCAGTGCTGCATAGCTATTGACCTTCAACAATCCCTGAGGGAGGTCAGGGTGGAGGGAGGCACTCTGTGCTCCAGGGAATCTGGTGGGACAGGTCTTTAGATAGTTGGATGTTTTTAGGGACAGATTTTATGATCTCAAGGGCTTCCCTTGTAGCTCAGTTGGTAAAGAATCTGCCTGAAGTGTAGGAGACACGGGTTCGATCCCTGGGTTGGGAAGATCCCCTGGAGAAGGAAATGGCAACCCACTCCAGTATCCTTGCCAGGAAAAATATCATGGATAGAGGAGCCTGGTGGGCCCCAGTCCATGGGATCCCAAAGAGCTGGGCACTGAACTACTCACATTTACTTTATGATCTCAATCCTTGCATCTCCTCCTATCTAGAGAAGCACTAAATCCCTTCATGGTGACATCAGATCTTCATGACTAACAAAATCCTTTTGTAAAATGAGTGCTTCATGGCCTTGAACTCCCCCTTCACCAAAACCTTATATACAGAGCTATCTGAAATGCTGCCTCACAGGCTGCAGCCCTCATTTTACCCCAAATAAAACTTAACTCACAACTCTCAAGTTGTGCATATTTATTTTTGGTCGACATCATCCACATTGTTTGTGAATATCTGGGCATTTCAGTCACTGGAGAGGCAAGCTTGACCTCTGGGGAGAGGAAAGGGGAAATTCAGGCTTTTGAAAATGAAACTGACTTTAGCACCTCATTCCTGCCTTTCTCTCCTTCCTAGGAAAAATACCGCAAGCACTCAAAAAGAAAACGAACCATGTTCATGGAGAAACAGTTGGCATATTTAAATTTTCTTAAAAAAACAAAACAACCCATACCCCACCCTTGGCCTCCAGAGAGAAATGGCCTCAAAAATGGAGCTACACCCAACAGTCCTGCAGGTCAGAAAACAAGCCCTATCTCACCAGGCCACTTCATCTGTTGCTGTTCTTCAGTTACCAAGTCGTGTTGCAACCCTGTGGACTGCAGTCTGCCAGGCTCCCCTGTCCTTCAGCATCTCCCAGAGTTTGCTCAATTTATCCTCACTGAATCAGTGATGCTATCTAACCATCTCATCCTCCGCCACCCCCTTCTCCTCCTGCCTTCAATCTTTCCCAGCATCAGAGTGTTTTTCAATGAATTGACTCATTGCATCCAGTGGCCAAAGCCTGGGAGCTTCAGCTTCAGCATCAGTCCTTCCAATGAATAACCAGGGCTGATTTCTAGGATAATTCCTGAAGCTTGATACCACTGCAATCCCCAAGACTCTGAAGACCCAGACTACTACCCATACCCTATTACTCTCTCTCCCAACCAACCCCTAGAGCAAGATGGGCAAAGTTTTTGTGTAAAGGACCAGATAGTAAACACATGTGAGCCATACAGTCTCTGCCACAACTGTTAAATTCTGCCTTGATAGGAGCAGCCATCCAGTTTGTGAAAACAGAAAGATGTGTCTGTGTTCTCATATGGGCTTCCCTGGTGACATCAGACATCAGACATCAAAGGATCTGCCTGCAATGCAGGAGACACCCGTATGATTCCTGGGTCAGGAAGATCCTTTGAAGTCGCTCAGCCATGCCCGACTCTCTCTGTGACCCTATGGACAGTAGCCTGCACCAGGCTCCTCCTTCCATGGGGTTTTCTAGGCAAGAGTACTGGAGTGGGTTGCCATTTCCTTCTCCAGGGATCTTCCCAACCCAGGGAACGAGCCTAGGTCTCCCGCATTGTAGACAGGCGCTTTACCGTCTGAGCCAAGCTCGCATGCCTTTACGGAGGATTCTTTAGGGAAGGAAATGGCAACCACTCCAGCATTCTTGCCTGGAGAATTCCATGGATATTTTGTGTTCCATACTCTTTGTCCTAGATTGTGTAAACACTTTTCTTATCTAACTTAGTGGCCTCTGCAAAGCTCCAGTCAACTTTGGAACATGCCCTCAGATCAGTTATCAATGTTGTTGCTTAAAATATATGTTTTGGGGGGAAAAAAAGTTTTTGTTTAGGGACAGTCCGGTGGTTAAGACTCCACTTTTCACTGCAGGGGGTGTGAATTCCACCCTTGGTCAGGGAACTAAGATCCTACAGGCTGAGCGATACAGAAAAAAAAAAAAAATATATATATATATATATATGTGTGTGTGTGTGTGTGTATTTTAAAAAGGGATTTCCTGGTGGTCCAGTCTTAAGACTTCACCTTCCAATGCAGAGGGTGCAGGTTCAATCCCTGGTCAGGGGCCTAATACCCCACATGCCTCGGGGCCAAAAAACCAAAACATAAACCAGAAGAAGAAAAAAAGAAAAAGAAAATAGAAGAAATATTGTAACAAATTCAATGAAGACTTTAAATGTGGTCCACATCAAAACACCTTTGTAAAAAATTTGTCACTTAACCTTTAAAGTCCTTCATAATATGACTCAAATCCTTTTGTTTTAGAATATAACTTTCAAGTTTACATTTTTTTTTAACTTCACATTTTCAAGTACAATTTTCCCAGGCAATTTAAAACAAAACAAACCAAAAAATCAAAAACACATGAGGGGTCAGATTTGGCCCAGCGGTGGACCATGTACAGATATCCATGCTATGGCACCCCCTAGTGATGACCACTTTGCTTTCCCGTACCTTGCTCTTTATAGTTTAAGCTATAGTTTTTCCAGAAATCATGTAGGGATGAGAGAGCTGGGCCGTAAACAAAGCTGAGCACCTAAGAATGGATGCTTTCGAATTGTGTTGCTGGAGAAGACTCTTGAGAGTCCGTTGGACAGCAAAGAGATCAAACCAGTCAATCTTAAAGGAAATCAACCCTGAATATTCATCAGAAGGAGTGATGTGGAAACTGAAGCTCCAATACTTTGGCCACCTGATGCAAAAAGTGGACTCATTGGGAAAGACCCTGATGCTGGGAAAGACTGAGGGTAGGAGGAGAAGGGGGTGACAGATGGTTGCATGACATCACAAACTGAATGGACACAAATTTGAGCAAACTCCAGGAGATAATGCCGGACAGAGGAGCCTGGTGTGCTGCAATCCATGGGGTGGCAAAGAGTGGGACACGCCTTAGGGGCTGAACAACAGCAGCAAATATGTTGCTCTGGGGGCTCAGATCCCTGCCTCACTTTCTGTGCCCACAGCCTCATTCCTGCTTCTCCCTGGCCACAGGTTGGCAGGGCTTCCACAAGCTGAGATGTGGAACCAGAGCCATCCTCAGCTAGAAGCATTCGTTTAGTTGAGTAAAATAAAAATGCTTCTGAAACCTCACATGGTTCATTAACCCATCGATCCTCTCTTCCCTCCTCAGGATTGGTTCAAGGATCATAGAGTGAAATTCAAGAAAGCCAGAGATGAGGATTTCCCATCAGAACAGTGAGAAGTTCAACAGTGATTCTCTGAGGTCATGGTCAATATTGGCTCCGCTAAGGAGAGCGTGGCTGCACATCCCGGGTCCTCTCTGGTGCCTTCCTTGAATCCCTATTTCCTACAGGTCCTCAGACACCTTCCTTCCAGCTCAGCACAAGGCCTGCCCGGAAGGATCTCGCAGACCATTCTCTGGGCCACAAAATGGTCCATTTTGGCTGCTGCCCAGACCCAAATATGTACTGCCTCTATCCCACTGTGGAATCCTGAGCTGTCTCTACAAGCCTCAATTCTAATTCTTAGGGCTCTTTTTTTGCCACAAAGCTCTAAGAGAAGCTAGGCCCAGAAAGTCACATGTTATGATTTGTCATGATTCTGATCCCAAGCTGGAATCAAGATTGCTTGGAGGAGTATCAACAACCTCAGATGTGCAGATGACACCACCTTTATGGCAGAAAGCAAAGAGAAACTAAAAAACCTCTTGATGAAGGTGAAAGAAGAAAGTGAAGAAGGTGGCTTCAAACTTAACATTCAAAAAACTGAGATCATGACATCCAGTCCCATCACTTCATGGCAAATAGATGGGGGAAAGTGTTCTCATCACAAAAAAGAAATGAGAATAGTGTGATGGGGTGGAGATGTTAGCTAATGCCATGGCGGGAATCATTTTATCATATATAATTATATTCAACCAACATGCTGTACATCTTAAACTTATACAATGTTATATGTCAATTACATCTCAATGAAACTGGAGAAACAAATTTTAAACAAAATCTGTGCATTTTAGTTTGCATAATTTATATCTTGATAAAAAATAACTATATAATAGGACTAGTAAGGACAGTTATCTTNTATAATAGGACTAGTAAGGATAGTTATCTTCTTTTTTCCTTCTTCTTTGTTTTGATTTTTTTTCTGTTTTTTTTTTTTTTTCTTCAGTATTGTTCAGCTAATAAGATTTAGTCATGAGACTTCACTGGTGGTCTGGTGGCTAAAACAATGTGCTCCCAATGCAGGGGGCCTGGGTTCAATCCCTGGTCAGGGAACTAGACCCCACGTGTCACAACCAAGACCAAGCACAGTCAAATAAATGGACAAATATTTTTAAAAAATTAGTCTGTGTTGGCTTGTTTTTCTACTTCCTATATTATAGTCACCTCCCTATTATTTTATATCTGATGACCACTAATATATCTCCAGTCTCCCAACTTTTCTCTTTCTTTTCTCTTTTGTTCTCCACCCCCCACCCCCCCACTTTTCTTAAGACAATGGAAGGGACTTCCCTGATGGTCCAGAGGTTAGGACTCCCAGCATCTACTGCAAGGGGCCGAGGCTCAATCCTGGGTGGGGAACTAAGATCCCACAAGCTGTGGGGCATGCTCTGTCCCCCTCAAAGATAATGTCAATGCCATAAAATCTTCCAAAGAGTTCTCAGGCTCCTGATTCCTTCCTACTAACCCCTCTCCCTGATGTTCGGCATCTACAGATACAGAAAAGCCTGATCAACAGATTGTGTACTTTGACATGAAGCTGTAGGATTTTGTACTTGCTGCTGTTGTTCAGTTGCTCAGTCGTGTCCAACTCTGCGACCGCAGGGTCTGTATCCTGCCAGACTCCTCTGTCTCCACTATCTCCCAGAGTCCCCCCCTATCTCCAAGAGGTTGCTCAAATTCGTGTCCATTGAGTTGGTGATGCAGTCTACTCTGTAGCATGGGTCAGACCTGAGCATGACACTCTTGCAGGTAGACACCGATAGCCCTGCACACCTGTCTCACAAGGACATCCTACATTTGTGTGTCTACAGTGCTGACGTTTTGGGGTTTTTTTAGGTTTTTTGGGGGGGGGCGGTGAAGTATATAGTTGATGTGCTGAGATTTTGTCACTTCTCATCCACACAGTGGGTGGTCTTCACCTCGCCATTTTCCAGCCCTCTTCTCAATGTGTACTCCCCACCCGCAAGTTCCCTCTTAGTTGTGATGCTGCACTAGAGGTGGCCTAAGAGAATTCCAGTTTCTTTCTCTCACTGTCTTTCCCACCAGAGGCAACCATTCTAACATATTTCATGTTCCTCATTCTACTCTGTTTGTTTTTATGTGTGCGCGCATGCTCAGTGGCTCAGTCATGTCTGACTCTCTGCAACCCCATGGACTGTGACCCCCCACCAGGCTCCCTGGTCCATGGGATTTCCCAGGGAAGATTACAGGAGTGGGTTGACATTTCCTTCTCCAATTAATTATACATACACAAATTTTAATATGTATACATACATACACATGTATATGTTCAATGGACATGAAGTTGAGCAAACTCTGGGAGACAGTAGAAGACAGAGGAGCCTGGAAGACTACAGCCCATGGAATGACAGAGTCAGGCGTGACATAGTGACTGAACAACACATACACATGGACAGGCATACCTCACTTTTCTGCCCTTTGAAGATACTGCTTTTTTTTTTTTTTTTTTTTACAAATTGAAGGTTTGCGGCAACCCTAGGTTATCAGATGGTTGCTAGCTTGCTTTTTGGGCTGTCCTGGGTCTTACTTGTGGCATTCGGGATCTTTGATCTTAGTTGCGACATGTGGGATCTAGTTCCCTGACCAGGGATCAGACCCAGGCCACCTGCACTGGGAGCAGGGAGTCTTAGTCACTGGACCACAAGGGATATCCCAGCGTTGGTTTTTTGGTAATACAATACTTTTTTTAAAATTTTATTTTTATTTATTTATTTGACTGTGCCAGGTCTTAGTTGTGGCGTGTGGGATCTAGTTCCCTGACCAGGGAATGAACCTGGGCCCCCTGCATTGTGAGTGCAGAGGCTTAGCCATTGGACTAACAGTGAAGTCCCAAGTGCTTTTAAATTAAGGAGTGTACATTGTCCTTTCGGACAGAATGCTTTGCACACTAAATAGACTACACTGTAGTGTAAACACAACTTTTACATGCCCTGGAAAACTAAAACTTGTGTGACTCTCTTTATTACCATGTTCTCTTTATTGTGGCTGTCTAAAACCAAACTAGCAACATCTCTGAGATACGCCTGCATTAGCTCTTCACTTTGGGTCGTATCATTTATTTATTTAATTATATTTAAATTTATGTTTAATTGGAGGATAATTGCTTTACAATANCCTTTTTTTTTCCTTATTTTTTGGCCACATTGCACAGTTTTTAGAATCTTAGTTCCCCGACCAGGGATAGACCGCTGGCCAAGGCAATAAAAATGCTGAGTCCTAACTCCTAGACCTCCAGGGAATACCTTAAGTGTAACTCTTTTTCCTTTTTTAAAATATATATATATATATATATATTTTTTTAATGTGGACCATTTTTAAAGTTTTTACGCTTCTGTTTTATGTTTTGAGGCATATGTGATCTTAGTTTCCTAACCAGGGATCAAACAGGCACCCCCTGCATAGGAAGGCCAGGTCTTAACCACTTGATTGCCAGGAAAGCCCCCTAAAGTGCAACTCTTTGTCACAATATGGGCTTCCCTGATAGCTCAGTTGGTAAAGAATCTGCCTGCAATGCAGGAGACCCCAGTTTGATTCCCGGCTCAGGAAGATCCCCTGGAGAAGGGATAGGCTACCCACTCCAGTATTCTTGGCCTTCCCTGGTAGCTCAGCTGGTAAAGAACCCACCTGCAATGCAGGAGACCTGCGTTTGATCCCTGGGTTGGGAAGATCCCCTGGAGAAAGGAAAGGCTACCGACTCCAGTATTCTGGCCTGGAGAATTCCGTGGACTAAGTAGTCCATGGGGTCACAAAGAGTTGGAAATGACTGAGTGACTTTCACTTTCTTGTCACAATATGTGGTAACCTGTGTTTCCTTCCCATGTGACAATTTATGTATTTCCAATGCAAACAGGCAAAAGGAGACAGTGCCTGTGTTCAAGTTAATATTTTATTTCTTCCTCTGGTCTCTGGTTACATTTTTGTACATTCTGCTTGAAAATTCACTTTTCTGGATGTATATTATGCTTTTAAATGTAAACTTCAGCATTTAAAACATTGAAGTCACTTTGTCCACTGGCAATGATGCATCCACCTTCATGCTCCATAGAGACTCACAGTGTCCCTTGAGCCAGCAGATCCTCCAGTGCGTGGAGGGATTCCACATAGCATATCTCTCCTGTGGTTAAGATGATTCATCACTAGGGATGTTTCTGTTAATCTGGGAAGTGGAGGCTGGTGGCTATGTCCCATAGTTCTCCGGGCTGTGTCGGATCCCATATCCAAAGTATATGGCAAATCCTAGAAGGGAAATGAGATGATGAGGGGAAAGTAGGTGCTCCCCTCACTTACAAATGCCCAATAGGTCTCCTATCATGGTGTCTGACACAGTTCAGGGGGGAGGTAGTAGAAAGAATATTGGGCTCTGTCAGTCAAGAAACCTCTTTATCCCAGACAACCACTTACCAATCGCCGTCCAGATGCCAAATTGGACCCAGGTCTGAGTGGTCATCTGTATCATCAAGTAAACATTCACAAAGGTGCTCACCAGGAAGATGGCAGGCAAAGCAGGGACCTGTGAGCAAAGTCAGCTCCTTCCTGAACACCCCAGATATCTGAAAGGGAGACCCTACCCCATGTGGGCAGGAAGACTCCAGTTCTTCTCAGACTGTGTGCTCAGTGCTTAGTGAGACTGAGTTTCTAAAGCTCTGAGTGTGGGTCAGGGAAGGGTCCATTGGTTTTTGCAGAAGCAGGAGAGACCGGGGCTTTTGTTCCCCGGTCTACCTGGGGCAAGATGTCTTTCTCTCTCATCTCTCAGTCCCAAGGGCTGGGGATACCCGAGTATCTGAGAGTAGAGGAGGAGAAAACCATGACACTGACCTGTAGGAAAGAATGCAGAGGGTGCCAACAGCCACGATATATTTGGCAGAATCCCACCCAACATAGACGAAGGCCTGCGGCAAGGGGCTCTCGAGCTGAATCAGGTAGTAGGGCACCATGAGGGTGAGGGCCGCTGAGACACCAAAACACACCAAAAAGCAGATGAAGAAGGAGATCACGACAGCAAAGGGCATGGACCACTGAGGACTGCTGGCTTTTACCCCTTCAGGATGAGAGGAGGTATTGGGTCAGTAAACACACAGGGGTGAAATCACCAGACCCATTTTACTCTTCAATCTTCAAAAGCAACCTAAACTTCTACCCGCCCCTGTGCCCAAGGGCAGCCCATTCTGTTCCCAAACCCCTGATGGGACACACCAGGCCCATGTTACCTTCACTGACAATGCGAGCAAAACCAACAAATGCGTAGAAACATGTAGCTGCTCCCTGGAGAATTCCATCAAAAGCAAAAGGCACAAACCCTCCAGAACCCAGAAGGCCCAAGCTATGGTGAGAGGAGGAAAGAGGAGGAATGTGGGTGAGGTGTGTTTGGCCATCTCTACTGGGCTCCTCTCTTAGTACCACAAGTCCAGGGCTCCAGGGACCCCCACGTTTGAACCATCAGCCCAGGTCTCATTAGTCCCCACCATATCCCCAACTCTGCACACCACACACACATGCATTACTATGACCAAGTGTGCCCTCCTAACCTAGAGGCATCACCAGCTCCAGCTGCAGCCAATGTATAGTCCTGTTCTGTGAGCTTCCAGTTGTGCAGGTCTCCCTTAATGAAGCCAGAGACGATGATGAAGCTGAGAACCAAAATGTTCAAGCCTGTGAACACTTTGTGAATCAGGGTTGACTCATAAACTCTCAGAGCCAGTAGTCCTGTGGGAAAAATGGAAAATGAGACAAAATAATTAAATCCAGGACTCCCCTCACAGTCCATTGGTTAAGACCCTGAGCTTCCACTACAGGGAGCATAGGCTCAATCCCTGGTCTGGGAGTTCCCCATGCATTGCAGTGAGGCTAGAGAAATAAATAACTAAATCCAGAGAGACAGAAAGCAGACTAGTAGGTGCCCAGGGCTGGCAGTTCGTGGTTGTGGACAGATGGACAGTGACTGCTCAGTGGGTACATGGTTTCCTTTTGTTGTGATTAAAATGTTTGGTACTGGATGGGGTGGTGGCTACCCAGCACTGGGAATGTACTAAGTGTACTAATGGATACTTGCAGATGGATATTTTTACTGTGACCATCATCTCACAATATCCATGTCTATCAAATCATCTTAATCTTTTACAATGCTGTGTGTCAGTTGTTGTTGTGGTTCAGTTACTCAGTCATGTTTGATTCTTTGTGACCCCATGGACTAGAGAACACCAGGCTCCCCTGTCCTTCACTATCTCCCAGAGTTTGCTCAAACTCATGTCCATTGAGTCAGTGATGCCATTCAATCATCTCATCCTCTGTCTTCCCCTTCTCCTCCTGCCCTCAGTCCTTCTCAACATCAGGGTCTTTTCCAATGAGTCAGTTCTTCCCATCAGGTGGCCAAAGTATTGGAGCTTCTGTTTCAGCATCAGTTCTTCCAATAAATATTCAGAACTGATTTTCTTTAGGACTGACTGGTTAGATCTCCTTGCAGTCCAAGGGATTCTTGAGTCTTCTCCAGCACCACAAACAAAAGAATCAATTCTTTGGTACTCAGCCTTCTTTATGGTCTGATTCTCACATCTGTACATGACTACTAGAAAAACCACAGCTTTGACTTTATGGACCTTTATCAGCAGTGATGCCTCTGCTTTTTAATATGCTGTCTAGGTTTGTCATAGCTTTTCTTCCAAGGAGCAAGTCTCTTTTGATTTCATGGCTGCNCAGTGATTTGGGAACCCAAGAAAATAAAATCTCTCACTGTTTACATTTTCCCCCACTATTTGCCATGAAGTGAATTATATTTCAATAAAGCTGGGAAAAACAATAAAATGGTTAAATTTATGTGAATTTCCTCTCAGTTAAAACACACACACACAGCTTTGATCTCAGTACAGAGGAAGAAACTTGTTGGTCTAGGTAAATGATTCCCAGCTGGGGTGATTTTATGCTCCAAGGAACATCGGCCCTGTCTGTTGACATCCCAGTTGTCACAGTTTGGGGGTTGGGTGTCACTGGTACCTAGTACATAAAGATCATAGATGCTACTCAACATCCAACAATGATTTTTTTTAGGGGGTGGTTCCCCTCTTGGCATGTGGGATCTTAGTTCCCTGATGAGGGATTGAGCCAAAAACTTCAGCAGTGAAAGCACAGTCTCCTAACCATTGAACCACTGGGGAATTCCCCCAACAACAATTTTTTTTTAAAAAAGGAAATGCACAAGACAGCACTCCACACCAAAGAATGATCCAACCTAAATTACCAATAGTCCAAAGGTATGAAAAATTACTCTGTCTTGCCTTCCTCTCTTTCTTATTCCAAACCCTTTTTTCCCAGTCCTAATTCCCCACTTTTCTGCCACCCCAAGCCTTCCCCATGCCAGCTCCCCCTCCATACCCCTCTCTTCCCTTTCTGTCTCTGGTCCCTTCTCACCTGTGAGCAGCAGCACCAGGCCCAGGGCAAGAAAGTCTGGAAATGAGGCCAGGAAGTAGGGCATTTGCAGAGAGAAAGTTCCCCCTAATGCCTCAGAGATGTGGTTCCCAATCAGGCTGTCAAAGGTGGCGCTCCAGGCCCGGGCTATACAGGCAGTGGCTGCAGCAACAGAAGGAGGAGTGTTTACAAGCAGAGAGAAACTGAACCCTTATTATGTGCCATGTGAGACATTTGGGGCAGGAGGTGAGCAAAAAAACACCTGATCTCAAAGAGTTTCTTCTCATGGGGTGGACAGGGGAGACCCAGGTGATTCACAAAATGGTCAACTATTTAACATGCTAGGAGATAGAAGTGATGGAAAACAAAGAAACACAGCTAAATGGGACAAGGAGGGAGTAGATCAGAGTTGAATTTTTAAGTTGAGGTGTAAGGGAAAATCCAGGAAGGCAACAGCTGAGCAAAGACTTCACTGTGGTCAGGGGATGAGCCTAGGGACTTGCCTCCCTCTCAGCCACTCCTTACAGCTCCTTTCCTCTGGTTTCTCCGTCCATCATTTAAGGAAAGCAGGATAGACCTGCATGCAATGAGGTTGTGCAGTTTTCCTGCCACACTTACCCCTCTCCCAACTCTGCCCCGAAGGTGGATAACAAAGTTCTGATCAGTGATGAAGCCCCCAGTCATCTCTCCTACTTTCTCCATCTTAAGACCCACTTCTCCCCCCTCTCTATCATCTCACCAATAATTAAATACAGTAAGAGGTTCCAGCCAGTAATGAAGGCGTACAATTGTCCCATTGTGACATAGCTGATGAAATACACAGTACTGGGTCTTTCTACTCCAGCTGCCAACTTGACATAGCAGAGCCCAGACAACACAGTAGTCATGCCGGCCACCAGTAAGAAAAGGATGATTGCTGGTCCAGCTATGCATTTGGCCACTGCACCAATCAGGATGTATATGCCAGCTCCCAACATGTTGTCCAAGCCTATCACCACCAGGTCCAGGATGTTCGGAGGATGGGTCTTGGGACTCTCAGGTTTCTCCTTGAACTGTGGCTTCCTGCGGACCAGCTTCTGACCAAACCGGCACAGATACTGACCCAGCATTGTAGACATAGTTACATCTGCTGAGAAAGCAGGGCACAAAGTCATCAAGGATGTCCATCTGCCCTTGACCCTGGAAGCTCAATTCCATGGAGGAATGGAGGGATGGGAGCAGGTGGTAAAAGGACACATTGGGCAAGTTCTCTCTGTGAGAACTTTGGTTTCTTCAAAAATAAAGATTTTTAATGTTTCAAGGTTACTCGAAGATTTGCTTGAAGAGAAGTGAGGGGGATGAGAATATGTCTTCCCAAATGTGCCACTTTGGCTCATGGATTCTTTATGAGCTAGAGGTAAATTAAGATCCAGAAAGCTTGGAGAAAGCTTCCTGTCACTCCCTTGTCTCTGTGTGTTAGTTACGTCTTTGCAACACCTGTGACTCTTCTGTCTGTGGGGATTTCCAGGCAAGAATACTGGAGTGGGTTGCCATGCCCTCCTCCAGGGGATCATCTCAACCCAGGGACTGAACCCAGATCTCCTGCACTGCAGGCAGATTCTTTACCATCTGAGCCACCCTTAAGACACTCACCACTATACAAACATTGTATGATTCCACTCCCATGAAGTATCGAGAGGAGCCAAAGACATAGAGACAGAAAGTAGAATGCTGGTTTGCCAGGGGCTGGGGTTAAGGGGGAAATGGGGAGGTATTGTTAAATGGGGCAGTTTCCATTTTACATGATACAAAAGAGCTCTTCATATTGGCTGGACAGCAATGGAAATATACTTAACATTACTGTTGTTGTTGCCAATGATAAATAATAGAGACCAGCTTCAAAGAGTTGCTGGGTGTAACAACCCTAAGGTCATTTAATACAAATCAACATAGCATTAACTTGAGCAAACTTGGGAGANCTGGGTGTAACAACCCTAAGGTCATTTAATACAAATCAACATAGCATTAACTTGAGCAAACTCGGGAGATGGTGAAGGATTATGTGCTACAGTCCATGGGCCATGAAGAGCCGGACATCACTGACTGACTGAACAAACTACCATTATCCCTTCCAGAAACCAACATCTGCTGACATGCAAGTCCTTTACTGTTCCCTCGTATCAGCAGATGAGGAACCCATAGATTCAAAAGGCGGGTGGTATACAAGAGACTGAAGTGGATGGCGCATATATCATAAGCCCTGTATAAGGAAAATCTTCACTATTGTTTGAGCACAAGTAACTCCCCCCCCCGCCCCCCCCAAAAAAAAAAGAGAGATAAAGAGCCTGCCTGCCAATGTAGGAGACGTAGGAGACGCTGGTTCGATCCCTGGGTTGGGAAGTTCCCCTGGAGGAGGAAATGGCAGCTACTCCAGTATTCTTGCCTGGAGAATCCCATGGACAGATGAGCCTGGTGGGCTATAGTCCATCATGTCGCAAAGAGTTAGACATGGTGAAGTGACTTAGCACACACGCAAGAACCTCCAGGCACTGATCCAACCTCCCATCCCCCCGCCCCCACCAACTGATTCTCACACAAAACACAAGAGCCCTCAGCTCCTGTTTTCATCTGTAAAACTGGTCTCTCCACCCTCAGGCTGGAGCCGGGCTGACCCTCTCCACTCTGGGGTTGCAGAGGTCTCTTTGGGAGGATGTGAACTCAGTGCCCTGTCTCCTACAGAAGAGGCTGACCCAAGACTTACTGGATCCTTGGAGCGGAGCCTGGAGCACTGGGTCAGTCAGGGAGGCTGAGGTTAAACCGTGAGGGGCTGGAGCTGAGACATCTCCAAGAACTGAAGTGGGGAGTCCTGAGCACAGAAGACAGTCCTCACCCCTGGGTTGTTGGGGTGGAGATGGGGCTGGGTGGGCGGGGACCATCTGCCGTGTCTCTATCAGCCCTGACTCTTCTGTGGTTACCCTCAGGGAAGGTTCTGAGAGGGTTTTATTTTTTTTCAAGTAGTTAGGATGATTTTTTATTAATTAGCTAGACTACTGATGGTTGTGGGTGGTCTTTGTGGCTGCGCGCAGGCTTTCTCTAGTTGCTCGAGTTGGGGCTGCTCTCTGAGGCAGTGCAGGACCGTCTCACGGCTGTGACTTCTCTTCTTGTGCAGCAGAGGCTCTGGGGTGGGCAGGCTTCACCAGCTGTGCCCTGTGGCCTCAGTAGCCGTGGCTCCTGGCTCTAGAGAACGGGCTCAGGAATTGCAGGGCACAGGTTTAATTGCTCTACGGCATGTTGAATCTTCCTGGATCAGGGATCGAACCTGGGTCCCCCACATTGACAAGCAGATTCTCTACCAGCAAGGAAGGCCCTGAGATGTTTTCTTTGTTGTAGTAAAGTACACATAACAAATTTTATCATTTAATTCATGTTAAGTGTCCAGTTCAGTCATGTTGTGTATGTGTGTGTGCTAAGTCGCATGAGTTGTGTCCGACTCTTTGCAACCCTGCCACACTCCTCTGCCCGTGGGATTCTCTAGATGAGAATACTGGAGTGGGTTGCCATTTCCTCCCCCGGGAGATCTTCCCAACCCAGGGATTGAATCCAGGTCTCCTACATCTCTTGCGTGGGCACCCGGGTTCTTTACCGCTAGTGCCACTTGGAAAGCCCCTCAGTCATGTTAGGTATATCCANGGAGTGGGTAGCCATTTCCTGCTCCAGGGGATCCTCCCAACACAGTGTTTGCACCAGGGTCTCCTGCACTGCAGGCGGAGTCTTGACCGTCTGAGCCACTTCTGTATTTCTTCTTGGCGGGGCGGATTCTTCGTGCTCTGGGGGGTTTCTCCATTTGCAGGATGGGGGGTGGGGCGGCGCTGCTCTCTAGCCGAGGTCCTCAGGCTTCTCTTGTTGGGGAGCTCCGACTCTAGGGTCACAGGCTTCAGCTGTGGCACAGGGGCTCTAGAGCACAGGCTCAATAGTCAGGAGGATTACTTTAAAAGAAGACATTGGAGATGCAATGGATGCACAAAGAAGCCTTATCAGCGTCTCCTTTATCAGACTCAAAGCAGAAAGTTCTGGTAAGTACAGCTGCCAGAAAGTCCCTCTCTGGGGAGAGGCTGCTCCCAAAAAGAGGATGGTAAGTAAAACTAGGACAATAATTGTGGACACAGTATGGGAAGGAGAGGGTGGGACTCATTGAGAGAGTAGCGTGGAGACATACACGTGACCATGTGTAAAGCAGATGGCCAGTGGAAATTTGCCGTATGATGCAGGGAGCTCAAACCTGATGCTCTGCGACACCTAGAGGGGAGGGATGGAGTGGGAGGTGGGAGGAGGCTCAAGAGGGAGGGGACACAGGTCTACCCAGGGCTGATTCATGTGGATGTGTGGTGGAAACCAATGCAAAGTTGTAAGGCAATTATCCTCCAGTTAAAAACAGAGACATTTAAAATTTTTAAAAATTTTGCTCTCTCGGAGTTTTCTAGCCTGAAGAAGCTGGAAAGACCACTCACACCTGCAGAGACAAACATTATTACAAAGCATCTCATATCTGTTTTCTTACTTTATTTGTCTTTCCCAAAGAAACCGATTTGTTCTTCCCATAAAAGCCTTTTCTCCCTGCATCCCTCTACTAAGTTAGGTACAGAAGCCTGTAACTTTAATCATTTAGCAAGTTATACTTCTGTTGTCTCCTGTGTATAATCCTTCCTCCTGGTAATTTGTCTTTTCAGTGTCTTTTTTGTAGACTCTGGTCAAAAAACCTAAGAGGATAAAGGGGGGAAGTGTTTCTGTTCCGAGAGCAGCAAAGTTTCCACAATATGATGTTGCTACTGAATAAAATGTGTAGCCAGTAAAGGAAGTAGTGGACAGAGGTCAGGCATTTAACGTTGCCATGGAGATGACTATGTGCCAGGAGCTAAAATAGGCATCAGAGACTTAGAAGGAAAGAACACTCCCCACTTTAACGTCAGGGGGCATTGGGGACAGTTTATCTGGAATCCATTTCACACACTTTGTTAACAAAACTTTTTAATTGGAGGATAATTGCTTTACCATGGCTTATTGGTTTCCGCCATACATCATCATGAATCAGGCATAGGTACATGTACGTCCCCTGCCTCTTGAGCCTCCTCCCTCACCTCCCACCCCATCCACCCCTCTAGGTTGTCACAGAGCACTGGGTCTGAGCTGCCTGGGTTATAGAGCACCTTCCCATTGGTGATCTCTTTTACACGTGGTAATGGAAAGGTTTCAATGCTTCTGTCTCAATGCATCCCATCCTCTCCTTCCCCCACTGTGCCCACAAGTCTGTTCTCTATGTCTGCATCTATTGGTGCCCTACAAATAGGTTCATCAGTACCACCATCTTTCTAGATTCTATACATATGCGTTAACATAGGATATTTGCTCTTTTCTTTCTGACTTTCTTCACTCTGTATTAAAGGCTCTAAGTTCATCCACCGCTTTAGAACTGAGTCAAATGCGTTCCTTTTTATGGCTGTGGGTCATACTATTTAATTGGCATAAATACTGGACCATTTTTCTGCCCTGGGGAATTGTCAACATTCTGGTGTTGGCTGATTACGTTTTCACTCGAAATGTGAATCTATCCCTTATGTTCACGATGAGCTGTAGTTGATCTAGAGGCTTGATGACTTCCTCATCCAGCTTTTCATCAGGGCTGTGTTCCGGGCGGTGTTCTGTGTTGCCTGTTACAGCACACAGGGTGACACGGGATACCTGGTTGTCCCCCAATGGTAAGGGAAGATCAGCGATCAGGTGATGTCAGCCTCTTCCATCAGAGTTTCACCTGACCGTTTCAGTCTCCATTTTTTCCCAAGCCTGTATTTCGGTAGACTTGCAGGACGGTGAACATGCAGAATTTTCCTAATTCTGTTCATCCTCTTCTATTTTTGTAAAAACTCACTTAACAACTTCGCTGCTCATTTCTTGACCTCCATCCACCCTTCTCTCTACTGCAGCTGCTCATTCCCACAAACAGCCCTCTACTTCATGATCACCAGTGTCTTCCACGTCCATAATCTCAGTTTCAAGCATTGTTTTCTTCAGCAACACCTTTTCATTTTTGCTTCTCTAGTTTCACTTCCTATCTTTTAGTTCCACCCTACCATAA